CTTACCTCTACGGAAGCACAGTTCCCGCTCAGCCCAGTCAAAGCTATTCGCTGCTCTGGCACCCCAATGGTGGAACAAGCTCCGCCACGACGCCAGGACAGCGGAGTCACTGACCACCTTCCGGAGACACTTGAAACCCTACCTCTTTAAGGAATACCTGGAATAGTATAACAGTAATTAATAATAATAATAAAATAATAAAAAAGTGGTTGTCCCACTGGCTATCCTAAGCTGAATGCACCAAGTTGTAAGTCGCTCTGGATAAGAGCGTCTGCTAAATGACTTAAATGTTAAATGTTGTAGTTTACCAATAAAATGGCCAGATGGTGAAGTAGACATACTTGGTATTCATATCTCAAAAAATATAAATGAACATACCACAATCAATTTCAAATAGAAAGTTTGCAAAAATAGATAAGATTCTACCACCATGGAGAGGTAAATACTTGTCTATTCATAGAAAAAATCACATTGATTAACTCTTTGGTCCTATCACAGTTTACTTACTTACTTACTAATGGCGCTCGCTAACTGTAAGTCGCTCTGGATAAGAGCGTCTGCTAAATGACTAAAATGTAAAAAAAATTAAATGTACTCCAGACGACTCGTTTAAAACAAAATATGAGCAGAAAACATTTCATTTTATTTGTAATGCTAAGCCAGACAAAATTAAACATGCCTATTTATATAATGAATATGAGTTTGGGGGGCTAAAATTATTAAATATTAAAGCATTAAACCTCTCACTAAAAGCTTCACTCATACATAAGTTATATTTAAACCCAAAATGGTTCTCCAGTAGATTATTAAGAAAGGCTCATCCTTTGTTCAAAAATTGCCCTTTTGCCTTTATACAGATTACAACTACTCATTTCCAACTAATTGAAAATGACATTTAGTTTATAGTATCACCCTTTTTTAAACAAGCCATACAAACCTAGTTACAATTTCAGTTTTATCCTCCAGGATCACTAGGTCATTTATTCTGGTATTGTCCCTATGTAGCTTGTTTCTGGTCACAGGTTCAGCAATGGTAAAAAAATCACAACACTTAAAATTAACCTTACAAATAGCGGTGTTAGGCGATTTGGAAAGCCATAGGCAGTCAATCAATAATATAATAATACTCATAGGAATTTTTTTCCTCTTTAGCTCACAATCTGTGGATACTATGCGATTGGAAAGGTTCAAAATGTATGTAAAACATTACATTTACATTTTTAGTCATTTAGCAGACGCTCTTATCCAGAGCGACTTACGGTTAGTGAATACATTTTTTTTTTTTTTTTATACTGGCCCCCCCGTGGGAATCAAACCCACGACCCTGGCGTTGCAAACGCCATGCTCTATCAACTGAGCTACATCCCTGCCGGCCATTCCCTCCCCTACCCTGGACGACGCTGGGCCAATTGTGCGCCGACCATGAGTCTCCCGGTCGCGGCCGGCTGCGACAGAGCCTGGATTCTAACCAGGATCTCTAGTGGCACAGTTAGCACTGCGATGCAGTGCCTTAGACCACTGCGCCACTCAGGAGTACGTCACAGCACAATTGAAAAATATATGGAATCCAAACGAGGGTGATCTATGGTGATGGGTAGGATGGGCTGAGAGTGGCTGAGGGGTGGGATTAAAGAGCTTATGTTTGGTAATGTATTATTGTTATGTGATTGCTTTATATTAAATTACCATGTATGTAAAATGTGTATGTAAAATGTATGTACAGTGAGGGAAAAAAGTATTTGATCCCCTGCTGATTTTGTACGTTTGCCCACTGACAAAGACATGATCAGTTTTTAATTTTAATGGTAGGTTTATTTGAACAGTGAGAGAGAGAATAACAACAAAAAAATCCAGAAAAACGCATGTCAAAAATGTTATAAATTGATTTGCATTTTAATGAGCGAAATAAATATTTGACCCCTCTGCAAAACATGACTTAGTACTTGGTGGCAAAAAACCCTTGTTTGCAATCACAGAGGTCAGACGTTTCTTGTAGTTGGCCACCAAGTTTGCACACATCTCAGGAGGGATTTTGTCCCACTCCTCTTTGCAGATCTTCTCCAAGTCATTAAGGTTTCGAGGCTGACGTTTGGCAACTCGAACCTTCAGCTCCCTCCACAGATTTGGGATTAAAGTCTGGAGACTGGCTAGGCCACTCCAGGACCTTAATGTGCTTCTTCTTGAGCCACTCCTTTGTTGCCTTGGCCGTGTGTTTTGGGTCATTGTCATGCTGGAATACCCATCCACGACCCATTTTCAATGCCCTGGCTGAGGGAAGGAGGTTCTCACCCAAGATTTGATGGTACATGGCCCCGTCCATCATCCCTTTGATGCGGTGAAGTTGTCCTGTCCCCTTAACAGAAAAACACCCCCAAAGCATAATGTTTCCACCTCCATGTTTGACGGTGGGGATGGTGTTCTTGGGGTCATAGGCAGCATTCCTCCTCCTCCAAACACGGCGAGTTGAGTTGATGCCAAAGAGCTCGATTTTGGTCCTTGCGGGCGCTGCAGGATTTCAGTCCTTCACAGCGTAGTGTGTTACCAATTGTTTTCTTGGTGACTATGGTCCCAGCTGCCTTGAGATCATTGACAAAGATCCTCCCATGTAGTTCTGGGCTGATTCCTCACCGTTCTCATGATCATTGCAACTCCACGAGGTGAGATCTTGCATGGAGCCCCAGGCTGAGAGAGATTGACAGTAATTTTTTAGTTTCTTCCATTTGCGAATAATCGCACCAACTGTTGTCACCTTCTCACCAAGCTGCTTGGTGATGGTCTTGTAGCCCATTCCAGCCTTGTGTAGGTCTACAATCTTGTCCCTGACATCCTTGGAGAGCTCTTTGGTCTTGGCCATGGTGGAGAGTTTGGAATCTGATTGATTACTTCTGTGGACAGGTGTCTTTTATACAGGTAACAAGCTGAGATTAGGAGCACTACCTTTAAGAGTGTGCTCCTAATCTCAGCTCATTACCTGTATAAAAGACACCCGGGAGCCAGAAATCTTTCTGATTGAGAGGGGGTCAAATACTTATTTCCCTCATTTAAATGCAAATCAATTTATAACATTTTTGACATGCGTTTATCTGGATTTTGTTGTAGTTATTCTGTCTCTCACTGTTCAAATAAACCTACCATTAAAATTATAGACTGATCATTTCTTTGTCAGTGGGCAAACGTACAAAATCAGCAGGGGATCAAATACTTTTCCCTCACTGTATATGTAGCAGAAAAGCTGTAAAAACCAAAAAAGATATGTGTCCTCCGAAGAGGGGTGGTGGTGGATGGGTTAATATATTTTGGGTTAATATATTTTGTACTACCAATAAATGTATTGGTGAACTATTTGAATCATGCATTGAACTACATCCATCTATTCTGCCAACAATGCCTTACTGTTTTATTTATTTATTTCACCTTAAAATTATTACAAGGTAAACCAGTTGAGAACAAGTTCTCATTTACAACTGCGACCTGGCCAAGATAAAGCAAAGCAGTGCGATAAAAAACAACAACACAGAGTTACATATGGGGTAAACAAAACAAAGTCAAAAATACAACAGAAAATATATATACAGTGTGTGCAAATGTAGCAAGTTATGGAGGTAAGGCAATAAATAGGCCATAGTGCAAAATAATTACAATTTAGTATTAACACTGGAATGATAGAGATGATGTGCAAATAGAGATACTGGGGTGCAAATTAGCAAAATAAATTACAATATGGGGATGAGGTAGTTGGGTGGGCTAATTTCAGATGGGCTGTGTACAGGTGCAGTGATCAGTAAGGTGCTCTGACAACTGATGCTTAAAGTTAGTGAGGGAGATAAGAGTCTCCAGCTTCAGAGATTTTTGCAGTTCGTTCCAGTCATTGGCAGCAGAGAACTGGAAAGAATGGCGGCCAAAGGAGGTGTTGGCTTTGGGGATGACCAGTGAGATATACCTGCTGGAGTGCATACTACGGGTGGGTGTTGCTATGGTGACCAATGAGCTAAGATAAGGCAGGGATTTGCCTAGCAGTGATTTATAGATGACCTGGAGCCAGTGGGTTTGGCGACGAATATGTAGTGAGGACCAGCCAACAAGAGCGTACAGGTCACAGTGGTGGGTAGTATATGGGGCTTTGGTGACAAAAGGGATGGCACTGTGATAGACAACATCCAATTTGCTGAGTAGAGTGTTGGAGGCTATTTTGTAAATGACATCGCCGAAGTCAAGGATCGGTAGGAAAATCAGTTTAACGAGGGCATGTTTGGCAGCCTGAGTGAAGGAGGCTTTGTTGCGAAATAGGAAGCCGATTCTAGAATTAACTTTGGATTGGAGATGCTTAATGTGAGTCTGGAAGGATAGTTTACAGTCTAACCAGACACCTAGGTATTTGTAGTTGTCCACATACTCTAGGTCAGACCCGCCGAGAGTAGTGATTCTAGTTGGGTGGACTGTACGTCTGAGTCAAATAGAACCTATTTTTAAAACCTCATAAACTGGCAATTTTATATTTTTGACTGAGATTATGATTATCTGTTTGTTTAATATCTGCAGAGTAGTTAAAACACTGTCAGTTCCACTTTAAGGACCCTGAGTATAATGGACACCCCCTTTACTGCAACACAATGTACAGGAAATTGTTTATGGTGCAATATGTATGTACAATTTGAAAAACGGATTGGATTTAAGCTGATTGCCCACTCTTTCAGGGCCGCAAAATTAGCAGCGACGCTGGTGGGGGTGTAAACTCTGTGGATTTGGAAACTAGAAGTGCTCATGAGTGAATGGACCCCCCTTTTACTGCAACAATGTACAGTAAATTGTGTAATTTGTGTACAGACAAAACATTGTTGATCTAATAATTATTTGTATCATAACTTGTATAAAATACGATCGATTTTTGTGCACATTTTCCATAATTGTCTCTCTAATTATTCATGTAAAGTGTACAGGACAGGACTCCTATTCTGAAGCGTTCAAAAAAATTCGTGACCCGGAAGTACTTAGTTATTCTTGCCTGCTTCACAGCGGTCCTTTTGTTGAGGGCTGGGTGCTATCCAGTTGAAGGAGTAGGTGAAAAAGATTGAAATATAACTCGGTGAAATCGAAACCGGTATGAAAAGTCTATAATTAATGCGTTTTGTTGAAGTATTCTTTGGGGAAATCCATTTACATTTCCCCCTAACTTCAACTATTGAGGCATTATTATCTGGCGCAAGGTTAGCGGGCTAACGTTAGCTGATTACAGTAGTTTAGCTAGTTTACCTAGTTAACAAGCCTGATACATTTTTAGAGGGATTATTCGAAACGGAAAAATTATCACAGGAATATTATGGCAGAAGCCGATAAATTAAACATCGACTCCATCATACAGCGACTTCTGGAAGGTAAGAAATGCTCTTTATTTTTTTGGGGTGAACTAGTTAGCTAGCATCAACGACTAAAGCTTACCGTGTGCTTCCCAGTCGAAACAGGTCGCGCATATATTATGACGACATTTTGTGACGTTTTTGTTCGTTTTGGTGTTCGGCAGTTTTTCTTTCGTCTGTTCGAGCCGTAGAGCCTGACAGGGGGCGCTGTTTTGACGCCACCACGCCTCCATCTTGGCACTCCCCCACTATTGTAAAAATATTTGGGAAGCTATAGAAATGCATGTATTAATGTCTACTTTTTTCCCCCCATGTTTATTCTATTCCAGACACCTTATTGCATACTTTAAAATTATATTATGCGAGATAAACATACAAAAAAATATATATATAAAAATTTTCCTCAAAGTATATATTTTTTGAAAGTTAAAATGTTACAACAACACTTAAACACATGTAATTGTGTCCTTGAAACATTACATTTAAATATTGTGTAATTCTTCTGCTGCTTCTGGGGAGTGCCAATATGACCAGCCAGAGGCTTCATAGCCTCTCATTGGCCAATACATAGCATAAGCACTAATTTTACATTTTAGTCATTTTAGCAGATGCTCTTATCCAGAGCGACTTACAGTTAGTGAGTGCATACATTTTCATACTTTTTCACTCCAGGGTTTATATACATCACGTTAGCTTCACCTAGCCGAGTTCTGCTAAGAGCAAACCGAACCTAGTATGCGGACGCCTTTGTCTGGCTAGCTGGATAGGTAGTTGGCTAGCCCTTGATCATGACTCTGTTCCATTACATTACACATAAGTAATTGGACGAAGGCGACTTCTTTACGGGGGAGTTTTGTTAAGAGCCCCGACGCTCAGTCTAAACATTAACACGCATCTCTTGCGGTACTGTTTTGGAAGCGTAAGGACCTTTATATTTAATATCAGCAATAAATAATTTTCAGAAAACAAAAGGTTAAATTGATAAACACCTTTTTATAGGTTAGGGTTAGTGTTCCCACACGGCCATATCTTCATGTTCAGCGCTTGTTTACGGAAAACAAACTGAAGAGAGACACGACCACCTGTGCTAATTGGCTATCTAGCGTGCTCCGAACACCTTTGTGTAAGCTTAACTTGGGAAGTGTAGCAGAAGTGTAGTTTCATCGGATGGAGGCACCTATTGCTGTATGGATCTGTGCAAAACTGCTACAATAAGTGTGTCTTTATTTGAAGGATTCTTTCTCGCTGATGAAAGATGAGGGCCATATATTTTGAAAGCCGTATCGCAAAGGATGATCATTGATGTTTCTTTTTTTGTTAAATATTATTACATTTTTTCAAATAATACAAAACATACACATACAAAAGACAACCTACAGACCTACAGTTCTCACCCCTATCTCCAGTGCCTGCACTACTCGCCGCCACAAATTGCACCATTTTGATCTTCTCCGTCGCCCACGCTCTTTCAATATTTAGATAATAAAGCATATGATTTTTCCATTGTCTTAACAATGGAGGATTGGTTGATTTCCAGTTAAGTATACATTTTTTCAATATAACTGACGAGAAGAGTATCGTCCAACCCATCAGGTATCTCACTGCACACTCATATGACATGTCTTGAAATATGCAGACAGACGGATTAAATGTAAATTTACATTGTAATACTTCTGACAGCCAACTTTCTAACTCCGCCCATACCTTTTGGACTTTATAGCATTCCCAGAAGGCATGGATTATTGAGTCTGTTAGTTTTACACTTAAGACATGACTCTGTCATTGTGCTATAGAATTTGTGAATTTTGTCTCTTGCATAATACATTCTATACATTATTTTATACTGGATTAAGCCTACATTTTATTTAACTGTTATTTCATTAGTTATGTTCCAACATTTCCCAATCTTGTGCCAATATCAGTTATTTTTAAGTCTTGGTTCCAATAGTTTATCTTTTTTTCCTAAGAGGTTGTCAGTTGGATAGGCTCTCTGCAAGGTTTTGTATATCTTACCTATCATATGAATATCCTTTTCTGACTCAAATAGGATTCCCTCAAGATTGCTCTTATGTCCAAAAGATTTCAAATTGAAATTTCGTGATATTAAACTTTTAAGTTGCAGGTATATTATTTGAAAACATCTACATTGGTCTGTCCAAAATTGATTTTTTTATTTCTGCCATGGACATAAATGTATTTTCTATTTCCAAGTCATGTACGGTTTCTATGCCTTTAGTTTTCCATGTCGACCAATTTATCGGTGCATTCTGAAAAGCTATCCAAGGATTGTTCCATAGGGTTGTGTTTTTTGGGAGTGATATTGGTTCTTTTAGAACCTGTTTCATTTTCTTCCATATTGTTATAGTGTTCTTAACTATGAAGTTGTTAATGTTCTTTGCTTTATCTTTTGAAAATAGACACTTGAAAAGATTCTGGGGTGAACATGCGCATCTTCAGTATGTACACATTGTTCCTCTTTAGTGCATTTAACATTATGTCTCAAGTAAAAGCCTTGGGTGGTGAGTTGATACAATTCCAAGTCTGGGAGGTTAAAACCACCCTCAGACTTATGGAGGTGTAAAACGTCCTTTTTTATTCTGAGTTTTTTATTGACGTTTCTAAATGTTAAAACACAGCGTCGGGATTGTAGTTCACATAAGCCAGTCGTGGGCAAAGCTAATAGCTGAAAACGTTAGGGAGAAGGCAGAATATCGCCTAGAGTTTTAGAGCGCTAGTAGTTGGCTAGTAACTTAGCATAGCCAGAGACTGTAGCTAAGGCTAGTTAGCAGCTAGTACGGGATTGAACCAAAGAATTAGCACTGTTTTGGCGAGTTGCTTTGATATTCGCGGTTGCTAAAAAGTCAGTTGAAAACAGCCACACAGGCTCACTCTCCACATGAGACACAATGTTGTGTGTGAACAAGTATTCACTTTGTCATTGTCTCCTATCCAGTGAAGGGCTCCCGACCTGGCAAAAATGTGCAGCTGACGGAGAACGAGATTCGTGGCCTCTGCCTCAAGTCCCGGGAGATCTTCCTCAGCCAGCCAATACTGCTCGAGCTCGAGGCGCCACTCAAGATTTGTGGTGAGGCCAAGTTGTCACTTCTGGGGTTGGGAAAAGGGTGCCTCAAATGTGGTTAATCAAACTAGTAGAACTTTATTAATTCCAAGAAGGGAAATTGATTAATCATCACCACAAACATCAACAATACAAAGTGTAAAGACAGGAGATGGCTCAGGAACAGAAGACATGCACCTAAGCAATAAGGGAAGCAAGTGTAGAAAAGGAAAGCGCTACTAGCACCATATGTAGACTAAGGCAATTAGAAAAACTATTCTGAAGCTCATCTGTTTACCAACACTCGACAGAAAGGCATGATTACAATGAATACTTTAAAAAAGAAACGCTACTAGGCCTACTAGCTAGCATAACTAAAGTATTTTGTTTCGGGTGCCCAACAGCCTATTTTAGTCCTCTCATCTATACAGTAACAGCCGGAACAAACATTTTCCTGTTAGTATCTTGTGACCTTACACACCATGGTCAACTCTGCCCACCCCCAGGTGACGTCCACGGTCAGTACTACGACCTGCTGAGACTCTTTGAGTACGGAGGCTTTCCCCCGGAGAGCAACTACCTGTTCTTGGGGGACTATGTGGACAGAGGAAAGCAGTCACTGGAGACAATCTGCCTGCTGCTGGCCTACAAGGTCAAATACCCAGAGAACTTCTTTCTGCTGAGGGGCAACCACGAGTGTGCCTCCATCAACAGAATATACGGCTTCTACGATGAGTGTGAGTTGATGGGGCTTAGACAGATGCATAACACAGACAGACATGAAAAAACACGATAGAGCACCCGCATCCACAAGAGGCTTCATAACTGAGCATAACAGTTATGGGCACACATACATAGTAAATGCATATAAAAAATAATAATGTGAGTAATGTAGGCACTACAGTATGAGTGGTATTCTGACTTCTCCATTACGCTTGGGTAGTATTCCGGGTATTTGGAAATAGCCACGGGATATTATTGTTTTTTATACCATTGAAGCTATTTCTTTGAAGTTTTTCAATACATTTTTATATTTGTAGCTACTTTTTAAGTAGTCAACTTGTGCAATACGTTAGGGGATTAAACAGATCGCTTTCGTCATTTCACCGCTCACATTAACTAACATTATGAAGCTTACCGTAGTTCCCCAGAACAGTTGAGCCAGTCACATGTTTGTTTGTAAATAGCACAACGGAAGACGGGTCGCATTTTATATTGAAAGTCAAGTGTTTTTTTGCTTCAATAGAGTGATCAGGGACAAGCAACTATAGTTTTCCTTAACAGAAAATACATTATTGCAACACATTCGGCAGATGACAGCAGAAGTGCTGCAATGCTCTTTGACTGGCAGCCACACAAGTAAATGAGCTTACAATGAAAAATCAAAGTTTTTGTGAGGCGCTTTGACATTTTTAAAAAGGTCGACAAACAATTTGATTTATTGATTGATTGGTTGGTTACAGAGCATGTATTATGTGAAACGCAAAATAAGAATGCAATAAATTATGTAAGAGTGTTATCGGGACAAAGCAAGGACCAGGTTTATTTGCTTTGAAGATCAGGGTTCAGTTTTGAAGGGTGTAACATTACACAAACGTTCAGATAGAAATGCATTTTGTATAACAGATACAGTTGAAGTCGGAAGTTTACATACACCTTAGCCAAATACATTTAAACTCAGTTTTTCACAATTCCTGACATTTAATCCTAGTAAAAATTCCCTGTCTTAGGTCAGTTAGGATCACCACTTTATTTTAAGAATGTGAAATGTCAGAATAATAGTAGAGAATGATTTATTTCAGCTTTTATTTCTTTCATCACATTCCCAGTGGGTCAGAAGTTTACATACACTCAATTAGTATTTGGTAGCATTGCCTTTAAATTGTTTAACTTGGGTCAAACATTTCGGGTAGCCTTCCACAAGCTTCCCACAATAAGTTGGGTGAATTTTGGCCCATTCCTCCTGACAGAGCTGGTGTAACTGAGTCAGGTTTGTAGGCCTCCTTGCTCGCACACGCTTTTTCAGTTCTGCCCACACATTTTCTATAGGATTGAGGTCAGGGCTTTGTGATGGCCACTCCAATACCTTGACTTTGTTGTCCTTAAGCCATTTTTCCACAACTTTGGAAGTATGCTTGGGGTCATTGTCCATTTGGAAGACCCATTTGCGACCAAGCTTTAACTTCCTGACTGATGTCTTGAGATGTTGCTTCAATATATCCACATCATGTTCCTTCCTCATGATGCCATCTAAGTGCACCAGTCCCTCCTGCAGCAAAGCACCCCCACAGCATGATGCTGCCACCCCCGTGCTTCACGGTTGGGATGCTGTTCTTCGGCTTGCAAGCCTTCCCCTTTTTCTTCCAAACATAATGATGGTCATTATGGCCAAACTGTTCTATTTTTGTTTCATCAGACCAGAGGACATTTCTCCAAAAAGTACGATCTTTGTCCCCATGTGCAGTTGCAAACCATAGTCTGTCTTTTTTATGGCGGTTTTGGAGCAGTGGCTTCTTCCTTGCTGAGCGGCCTTTCAGGTTATGTCGATATAGGACTTGTTTTACTATGGATATAGATACTTTTGTACCTGTTTCTTCCAGCATCTTCACAAGGTCCTTTGCTGTTGTTCTGGGATTGATTTGCACTTTTTGCACCAACGTACGTTCATCTCTAGGAGACAGAACGCGTCTCCTTCCTGAGCGGTATGACGGCTGCGTGGTCCCATGGTGTTTATACTTGCGTACTATTGTTTGTACAGATGAACGTGGTACCTTCAGGCGTTTGGAAATTGCTCCCAAGGATGAACCAGACTTGTGGAGGTCTACAATTTTCTTTCTGAGGTTTTGGCTGATTTCTTTTGATTTTCCCATGATGTCAAGCAAAGAGGCACTGAGTTTGAAGGTAGACCTTGAAATACATCCACAGGTACACCTCCAATTGACTCAAATGATGTCAATTAGCCTATCAGAAGCTTCTAAAGCCATGACATCATTTTCTGGAATTTTCCAAGCTGTTTAAAGGCACAGTCAACTTAGTGTATGTAAACTTCTGACCCACTGGAATTGTGATACAGTGAATTATAAGTGAAATAATCTGTCTGTAAACAATTGTTGGAAAAATGACTTGTGTCATGCACAAAGTAGATGTCCTAACCGACTTGCCAAAACTATAGTTTGTTAACAAGAAATTTGTGGAGTGGTTGAAAAACAAGTTTTAATGACTCCAACCTAAGTGTATGTAAACTTCCGACTTCAACTGTAGGATTTTATGTCATGAAGAATTGGGCATCATGTCATATCTATTCATTACGTTGCAATTCCCAACATGCTGCACTGTTCATTTTACTGAATATACCCTGTAGGTAAGAGGCGGTACAATATCAAGCTGTGGAAGACCTTCACCGACTGCTTCAACTGCCTGCCTGTGGCGGCCATCGTCGACGAAAAGATATTTTGTTGCCATGGAGGTATGAAGTTGTAGTATTTATCAAATGGCTCCTGTGTGCACATTTCCGGTTGATTTTAAACACCCTTTTGTCCTTGCCCTAATGTGCCATGTAAACTCCCATTGTAACAGTAGAACATCAGCTGCCGTATAAAGAGTGAAAGGAAAAACTCAGTTAAGAGAGAGAAAATTTAGAGATATTTTGGATTGAGCCAGGGCCAGGCTGAGATGTAGGCCGTAGTTTTCATCAGTCAGACCATGAGCTTTAGGCAGACTGAGAAGTGAAAACCACAGAGTTTAAAAAGCCATATTATTTAATAAATATATATATATTCAAGCTTTGCACCCAACCATCCCTCGTGCGACAATCTATACCTCATTTTTTTATTTATTCCCCCATCCCCCAGGCCTGTCCCCTGATCTCCAGTCTATGGAGCAGGTGCGGCGGGTGATGCGGCCCACGGACGTGCCTGACCAGGGCCTGCTGTGCGACCTGCTGTGGGCAGACCCGGACAAGGATGTGCTGGGCTGGGGAGAGAATGACCGTGGCGTCTCCTTCACCTTCGGCGCCGACGTGGTCACCAAGTTCCTCCACAAGCACGACATGGACCTCATCTGCAGGGCCCACCAGGTCAGTGACTACCGAAGGGGAAGGGTTTAGGGAGCAGAAAGGTCCCGGCAGGTATACTGTTTTTATTTTTATTTAACCTTTATTTATACAGGTAAGTCAATTAAGAACAGATGCTTATTTGATGACCTGTTAGAATACTTGAAAAAATGTGTCCTTCCTCAAGTTAAGATTTAAGTCATTTTAGAAGCTTGCAGGATTCATTACTTACCAACAACAGCTGCAAATCCAAATAAAACGATATCATGTTTTAACGTTTATTTTCCTTGCTTTGTCTAACACTATCATGAATCTAGCGGAAGAAGTGGGGTTCAGAGTGAAGTATTTATTTTGTTTCATAGCCAAGTTTCTCCCCCTGGCTTTAGCCGCTGGGGGAGCAGGCCTGCCCGGGCAAGACCAGGGGGATTGCCTAGCAACACATGCCTTGAAAGGGAGGCAACATCAGCACAACAAATTCCCATGATTCTATGCTAGATTAGGACCGAACAATTAGTGACCGCTAAAATGGCTTTGAAAAAGTACGATTTCAGCTAATAGGGAAAAGTATCTAACAAAATAACTACTTTATGCATTCACTAATCATATTATATAAACGATTTACATATACAGTGGGGAGAACAAGTATTTGATACACTGCCGATTTTGCAGGTTTTCCTACTTACAAAGCATGTAGAGGTCTGTAAGTTTTATCATAGGTACACTTCAACTGTGAGAGACGGAATCTAAAACAAAAATCCAGAAAATCACATTGTATGATTTGTAAGTAATTAATTTGCATTTTATTGCATGACATAAGTATTTGATCACCTACCAACCAGTAAGAATTCCAGCTCTCACAGACCTGTTAGTTTTTCTTTAAGAAGCCCTCCTGTTCTCCACTCATTACCTGTATTAACTGCACCTGTTTGAACTCGTTACTTGTATAAAAGACACCTGTCCACACACTCAATCAAACAGACTCCAACCTCTCCACAATGGCCAAGACCAGAGAGCTGTGTAAGGACATCAGGGATAAAATTGTAGACCTCACCTCGTGGGGCATCAATGATAATGATAATAATAATAATAATAATAATAATAATAATAATAATATGCCATTTAGCAGACGCTTTTATCCAAAGCGACTTAGTCGTGCGTGCATACATTTTTGTGTATGGGTGGTCCCGGGCATCGAACCCACTACCATGGCGTTACAAGCGCCGTGCTCTACCAGCTGAGCTACAGAGGACCATGATCATGAGGAAGGTGAGGGATCAGCCCAGAACTACACAGCAGGACCTGGTCAATGACCTGAAGAGAGCTGGGACCACAGTCTCAAAGAAAACCATTAGTAACACACTACGCCGTCATGGATTAAAATCCTGCAGCGCACGCAAGGTCCCCCTGCTCAAGCCAGCGCATGTCCAGGCCCGTCTGAAGTTTGCCAATGACCATCTGGATGATCCAGAGGAGGAATGGGAGAAGGTCATGTGGTCTGATGAGACAAAAATAGAGCTTTTTGGTCTAAACTCCACTCGCCGTGTTTGGAGGAAGAAGAAGAAGGATGAGTACAACCCCAAGAACACCATCCCAACCGTGAAGCATGGAGGTGGAAACATCATTCTTTGGGGATGCTTTTCTGCAAAGGGGACAGGACGACTGCACCATATTGAGGGGAGGATGGATGAGTCCATGTATCGCGAGATCTTGGCCAACAACCTCCTTCCCTCAGTAAAAGCATTGAAGATGGGTCGTGGCTGGGTCTTCCAGCATGACAACGACCCGAAACACACAGCCAGGGCAACTAAGGAGTGGCTCTGTAAGAAGCATCTCAAGGTCCTGGAGTGGCCTAGCCAGTCTCCAGACCTGAACCCAATAGAAAATCTTTGGAGGGAGCTGAAAGTCCATATTGCCCAGCGACAGCCCCGAAACCTGAAGGATCTGGAGAAGGTCTGTATGGAGGAGTGGGCCAAAATCCCTGCTGCAGTGTGTGCAAAGCTGGTCAAGACCTACAGGAAACGTATGATCTCTGTAATTGCAAACAAAGGTTTCTGTACCAAATATTAAGTTCTGCTTTTCTGATGTATCAAATACTTGTGGTCCTCTGTAGCTCAGCTGGTAGAGCACGGCGCTTGTAACGCCAAGGTAGTGGGTTCGATCCCCGGGACCACCCATACACAAAAATGTATGCACGCACGACTGTAAGTCGCTTTGGATAAAAGCGTCTGCTAAATGGCATATTATTATTATTATTACTTATGTCATGCAATAAAATGCAAATTAATTACTTAAAAATCATACAATGTGATTTTTTGGATACAGACCTCTACATGCTTTGTAAGTAGGAAAACCTGCAAAATCGGCAGTGTATCAAATACTTGTTCTCCCCACTGTAATTAGTGTTGCACAGTATACCGGTACCATGGTAATATCACGGTACCAAAACGTCATGATACTATGATACTTAAGAGTACCGTTTCATATACTACCAGATTTGTCGCCCCTACCGATCTAAAGAACCAGCTGGCGCCTGTTATAAAATGTTTATAAAGTCAGTTTTATTTATAAATTCAGTTGAAGCAATTTCTAGCTCAACCATGTAAAAAAAAAAAAAATCCCGGGTTGCTAATTATTGGTTTGATAACAAATGTTGTTCATTCATGTTACCTAGCTAGCTAACAACCTTCTAACATTTGATTGGCACAGGAAGAAAGGAAAAGGGTCTGCTACTCATGAGATGTGCTTCAAAGCTAGGATTCATATAGGCCTAATGTAAGCCTAAACTATATTTAAAAAAATATATCTTTCTGGTGCTCCTTTAGATTCTGTTTGGTGCCTAATGTTTTTAAAGTTGGGAGCAGTGTGTATATATGTTTGTGGGAGAGAGAGTGGTGTGTCTGTTTATGAGAGAGAGGGAGACGGGGAGTGTGTGAGGGGGGGAGGGACAATATATGTGTGTCTGTGTTAACTGAAGAGTAAAGAAGGTTTCGTGCAATGTTTTCCCCTTACTGCCGCAATGACATTCAGATCATTATGCATGTCAGTATATTCCTTCCTCCCATTCCTCCAGCCAAATCACAGGTAGGCCTTTGCAAATATGAGCAAATCAGCCATTCTACGCACTATTCTATTATACAGTGTTATGTTAATTCAATATGTGTTGTATTGAGTAGAAGTGGGAATATCAGTGACAGGTTTTTTGCGACGCTAGTCAACTCTGAATTCCCCGATCTCCCCCCCCCCCCCCCCCCCCCGTACTCTGCAGGTTTACTACCCGGCCTGGCCTTAAACGGTTACCAGTTTAGTGGTTTTGTTTGTGATATGAATATATTACTTCCCTCTAGTACAGGCTCTATGCGGTTTGAAAGTGAATAAGCCTAGAATTCCTTGCACACTTGTCCACAGTGTTACATAGCAAAAGGATGAAGGACAAAGCTACCTTGGTTCCCTACAATCATAACAATCCCTCTTAACCTGTTCCAAACCGGGGTCAGTTTTGCAATGGAAAACAAAAACTACCGTTTGTTATTGGTCAAATTCAGATTGTACCTCCTCATTTTACTCCATTTCGTGCCTACTGAACACAGCCCTGCTTGGTTCTTCAGGTGGTTGAGGATGGCTACGAGTTCTTTGCGAAGAGGCAGCTAGTGACACTGTTCTCGGCCCCCAACTACTGCGGCGAGTTTGACAACGCCGGAGCCATGATGAGCGTGGACGAGACCCTCATGTGCTCCTTCCAGGTAAAGGGATATCACAAAAATCACTTTCTAATCTCTAAATTTTAGTAATGTGTTGAGGACGTCGTTTTTTTGTTGTCTGCGTGTCCTTTGTTTTGGCTGTAATGGTACTTCTCCGTATTAGCTGGTGTAAACAAATTTCCCCTTTTGGGATCAATATAGTACTATTTTAAAACTGCAACAATGTTTTTATAGTAGTATATAGTTGGCATTTACTATAGAGTTTTCTTGATTTTGAATGCAAGTCTCTTTATTTGTTTGTTCTCAATCCTCCCCAGATCCTCAAACCTGCAGACAAGAAGCTGTTCTACGGGGGTGGAGGGGGCATGGGTTCCGGACGCCCTGTCACCCCCCCCAGGAAAGCCAAGAAATGACTTGCCCCTCACTCAGCCTCCACCTGCACTCCCACCATGCCTGCCCGCTCTACCTCTCTTTCCTCTCTTTCACCAAACAGCCAGAAATCAAACCAGTATCCAGGGCTTTTTCCTTTTTTTATCGTAAGAAAAACATGTAATGCTATGAATTGTCTATGAGTGGGTGTGTGAGAGAACAAGACATGGAATGCGCCTGTTTCCGTCTGCGAGCGAGCATTAAAAAGTGTGCGTGTGTGTACATTATGTGTGACAATTTGAGAGATTTGTACTATCCCCTTCTCTTACCAATTTGCCCCATTGAAAGTATGGAACCACAGTGTCGTTCTGTACAGTAATTGTGACTGAAAAAAGCCGGGTTCGGGAGATAGTGGAGACCTCTGACCTGATGAATTTAGCAGCAAACAGATGGCGTGTTTGTGCAAAGGGGGATTGGTTTGTTTTTCCCTGTCCCCCTGTACTGTAAAATGTCAAACAGAGATGTGTGTGTGCCGTGTGACTACTCCCGCTTCAAGAAAGATGTTTGAATATCCTCGAGCAGGAGAGGTTAAATGTGTCAATTGTCTCAAAGGAAAGCAAGCATGCCCTCCACTCGCACGCACATACACATACAATGACCCTTTTCACAAATTCATACGAGCCAGAGCTGTAAAAACCACACAATTTAGGTTTGTACAGATTTGATTACTTGAAAGAGATTTTTTGTGAATTCGTTTTGTAGTCTCATCAATTGACCAATAAAGCGAGAATCTGAATTAAGTTCTTCTTTCATTGCTTGTCTAATATCTTTGCTAACCACCACCATCTTTCAATGCAGTTGTCATATGAAAAGGAATGCTACCCCTATCCCCCTCTTTTTTTATTTTTTTGGTACTGTGGCTTCCTGCCTCTAGTATTTGGTTAGAAGAGTCGGCAAACCCTTCCGGGGGCTTCATAATTTTATTCAATTTCTTAATCCTCATTCTATACCAACCTAAATCGATTTTGAAACTGACATGGACTAGTGCTTTTGTTATGAAATCCAGCTTAGTTTAAAAAAAAAAGAACTCCTGCACACACCTCTACATGTATTTTATTGTGTCGACGTTTCGATCAGGGACCTTTTTAAGACGGTCATCTTTGGGGTTGTAATTCTCTGCACCTCAAATGAGAGAAGCGTGGTGCTGCGTGTTCACATTTCGTCTTGAAATACAGTGAGGGAAAAAAGTATTTGATCCCCTGCTGATTTTGTACGTTTGCCCACTGACAAAGAAATGATCAGTCTATAATTTTAATGGTAGGTTTATTTGAACAGTGAGAGACAGAATAACAACAAAAAAATCCAGAAAAATTAATGTCAAAAATGTTATAAATTGATTTGCATATTAATGAGGGAAATAAGTATTTGACCCCCTCTCAATCAGAATGATTTCTGGCTCCCAGGTGTCTTTTATACAGGTAACGAGCTGAGATTAGGAGCACACTCTGAAAGGGAGTGCTCCTAATCTCAGTTTGTTACCTGTATAAAAGACATCTGTCCACAGAAGCAATCAATCAATCAGATTCCAAACTCTCCACCATGGCCAAGACCAAAGAGCTCTCGAAGGATGTCAGGGACAAGATTGTAGACCTACACAAGGCTGGAATGGGCTACAAGACCATCGCCAAGCAGCTTGGTGAGAAGGTGACAACAGTTGGTGCGATTATTCGCAAATGGAAGAAACACAAAAGAACTGTCAATCTCCCTCGGCCTGGGGCTCCATGCAAGATCTCACCTCGTGGAGTTGCAATGATCATGAGAACGGTGAGGAATCAGCCCAGAACTACACGGGAGGATCTTGTCAATGATCTCAAGGCAGCTGGGACCATAGTCCAAGAAAACAATTGGTCCAAGTCCAAGAAAACAATTGGTAACACACTACGCCGTGAAGGACTGAAATCCTGCAGCGCCCGTAAGGTCCCCCTGCTCAAGAAAGCACATATACGTGCTCGTCTGAAGTTTGCCAATGAACATCTGAATGATTCAGAGGAGAACTGGGTGAAAGTGTTATGATCAGATGAGACCAAAATTTAGCTCTTTGGCATCAACTTGCCGTGTTTGGAGGCGGAGGAATGCTGCCTATGACCCCAAGAACACCATCCCCACCGTCAAACATGGAGGTGGAAACATTATGCTTTGGGGGTGTTTTTCTGCTAAGGGGACAGGACAACTTCACCGCATCAAAGGGACGATGGACGGGGCCATGTACCGTCAAATATTTTTGAGTAACTCAAGAAGAAGCACATTAAGGTCCTGGAGTGGCCTAGCCAGTCTCCAGACCTTAATCCCATAGAAAATATGTGGAGGGAGCTGAAGGTTCGAGTTGCCAAACGTCAGCCTCGAAACCTTAATGACTTGGAGAAGATCTGCAAAGAGGAGTGGGACAAAATCCCTCCTGAGATGTGTGCAAACTTGGTGGTCAACTACAAGAAACGTCTGACCTCTGTGATTGCAATCAAGGTTTTTGCCACCAAGTACTAAGTCATGTTTTGCAGAGGGGTCAAATAATTATTTCCCTCATTAAAATGCAAATCAATTTATAACATTTTTTACATGCGTTTTTCTGGATTTTTTTGTTGTTATTCACTGTTCAAATAAACCTACCATTAAAATTATAGACTGATCATGTCTTTGCCAGTGGGCAAACGTACAAAATCAGCAGGGGATCAAATACTTTTTTCCCTCACTGTACCTTCCAAAAGTTTAGTCACATATCTACCAACTAAGTGTTGTCTATCTGTTGTCCATAGGATGGCGCTCTGAGTTGCCACTGAAGTGGGCTGAGGTAGAATGTGTAGTTACGTGAGGGGTCATTGGACTTTCGTATGTTAAACGTTGCTCATTGGTTAAGCACCCCAGTAAGGGTTATTGTCAATGAATGGCTTACGACAGAATCTCAAGTAACACTATTAACTCATTAATTAACAACGGAACGCATTACTTGATGCTGTAGCATTTGACTTTTCGCTTGCTATACCCCTGCATGAAGCTTCTGCAACAAATAAATGTTTTAAGTAATTCAAGAATATTGATCCCGTGTTGCTGGGTGGAACTCGTGCAAAGAAATGTGGATCACTCTTTCACACTCCATTCTATATATATATAAAAAATATCACATTTCTCTTCTGTATCTCCCAGTCTCTGTTTTCATTCGTCTTGCTGTCATCAACACTCGTCCTTCAAGGCGCTCTGTCCATCAATATGCCTTCCTTTCACAACCCCAATAAGGTGAGGGGTGAAGGAAATAGCAGTGTGTTAAGTTTAGACCTAAAAATGCCACATATGACCATGCTCTGTGAAAAACGGGATGTCAACTCAAACCTTTCCCTATAGTTTCCCTGTACTGCAATTTCCCTGTTCTGTACTTTTCTATTCTTGGCCACATCAGTTCCTGCAGTGTTATTCCCTAGCATGCCCCATTTGCAATTATAGATAGTCATTCGAAGAAAGAAGTTCAATAAAGTAGGTTACGAATGCACATATGTCACTCTTATGGAGAAAGTATGTAGTCTCATCGCAGGGCTCAACTCCTTGGGTGTCTGTTGGGTTGTGCGTTACCATCCCCACCTCAACTATTCCAACCAGTGACTAGGATTAGGTTCCCGTCTCTGCTGGACCCGTACTGAACTAAGGGTATCACAGACTCCTGAACATGCAGTCTTTGAGTCGTAACAACTCTTGGTTACACAGCGTTGCTCCAACACTTCAGCAACGTTGGTTTTACCTTTTTAACCAAATACCTGGGTCGTGTTCATTAGACACCAAACTGAAGAAAATGGATTGAAACATGGAGCGACTACCTGGACTTGTCCAATAAGAAATGCTTATTTTTGTTTTCTGTTGAAAAATGCTTTAAAACTTTTTTGGGTGTGTGCGCTAATAAACGCGGCCCTGTAGTAGGTGCTTATCAGACTGCAGTGTGTATTGTCTAGAAATTGTGGTAAAAGGTGTAACGCTGTACTTTAAGTAACAATTTTATGAGCATACAGTATATCCACAAGTGATTGATGATGGTTACATACTGTGGCACTCTATATGACATATTCAATATCTTACATAACATCTAACATAAACATTGATTGACATACATTGAGTCAGACGTACACTACCAGTCAGAAGTTTGGACACACCTACTCATTCAAGGGTTTTTATGTATTTTTACTATTTTTTACATTGTAGAATAATAGTGAAGACATGCCAAGAGTGTGCAAAGCTGTCATCAAGGCAAAGGGTGGCTATTTGAAGAATCTCAAATATAAAATATATTTTGATTTGTTTAACACTTTTTTGGTTACTACATGATTCCATATGTGTTATTTCATAGTGTTGATGTCTTCACAATAAGTCTACAATGTAGAAAATAGTCAAAATAAAGAAAAACCCTTGAATGAGTAGGTGTGTCCAATCCTTTGACTGGTACTGTATGTTCCAAGTCAGTAAAACAGTTTAAGTTGCACCTGAAAGTGGCTTACTGCAAATGTAATTTAGAATTTTATATTTGAGTGTCATTGCACTTACACTATATATACATAAGTACATTTATATGGACACCCCTTCAAATTAGTGGATTCGGCTATTTCAGCCACACCCGTTGCTGACAAGTGTATAAAATTGAGCACACAGCCATGCAATCTCCATAGACAAACATTGGCAGTAGAATGCCTTACTGAAGAGCTCAGTGACTTTCAACGTGGCACTGTCACAGGATGCCACCTTTCCAACAAGTCAGTTCGTCAAATTTCTTCCCTGCTAGAGCTGCCCCAGTCAGCTGTAAGTGCTGTTATTGTGAAGTGGAAATGTCTCGGTGCAACAACGGCTGAGCCGCGTAGTGGTAGGCCACTCAAGCTCACAGCGCTGAAGCGCGCAAAAATCGTCTGTCCTCGGTTGCAACACTCACTACCGATTTTCAAACTGCCTCTGGAAACAACGTCAGCACAAGAAATGTTCGTCGGGAGCTTTATGAAATGGGTTTCCATGGCTGAGC